ATCTCAAATTGGATATCCAGTAAACATCTTAAACAAAACATAAGTAATACAGAACTCCTTACCTTCCCCCCTAAATTCTCCCCCCTCACCACCCCCATACCTTCCTTATTACTATAGAAGGCAACATCATCCTAATCATTTAGGTTCAAAATCTCAAGTTCACATTCTGGATTTCTCACTAGCTCTCACCTACCCCTCCCCAATCCAATCTGTTGCCGAGATCTGTTGATTTCACCTTTGCAACATCTCTCAAATTCACTCCTTTCTCTCCTATAATATTGCCACCACTCTAGTGCAAGCCTTCATCACCTTAAGCCTAGACTATTGTAATAGCCTGCTGGTGAGTGGGCCTACCTCAATTCTCAACTTACTCCAGTGTATCCTCTGTTAAGCCACTAAAGTGATTTTCCTAAAGTGAAGGTCTGGTCATGGCACCTCCCCTACTCATTAAACTCCATTGGCTCCCTATCACTCCCAGGATCAAATACAACATGTCTGGTTTTTCATTACCTAGCTGTCTCCTACTTTTGCAGTCTTCTTACCCCTTACTCCCTGCCATGTACTCTTCAATACAATGACACTGACCTCCTGGCATGAATAAGACACTCCATTTCTCAGCTCTGGGCATATCTCTAGCTGTCCCCTTTGCCTGGAACATTCTCCCTCTTCCACTCTTACTACTGACCTCCCTGGCTCTCTTGAAGTTCCAACTAAAATCCTTTCTTTTACTGGAAGCTTTCCCCAACACCTCTTAATTCTAATGCCTTTATTCTGTTAATTACTTTCTATTTATCCTATATATAGCTTGTTCTGTATATATTTGTTTTCATGTTGTCTCCCCCATTAGATTGTAAGCTTCTTGAGGGCAGGTACCATTTTTTTGTATCTCCAGGGCTTAACACAGTGCCTGGCACATAGTAGGCACTTAATAAATATTTAATGATTGATTGACAACAGAAAAAGAGAGCCAAGGGGAATGATCTACAAGATAATAATATAGAAACTGCTTAGAAGAGGGGTCCCAAAATACCTACCTTAGAAGCTAATTCCACGAGGAATATCGAAACTAAAGAAGGAATAAATAAATGTAAGAGCCATAATTCAAAAAATTAAAGTCTAGTATAGAGAGAAAGGGAGGACAAATAATGAACACAATGAGAGAAAGAAATATTTTTTAAAAAAATATTTTTAAGCTAACAAAACAAGTTTAAGGGAAAGATAAGAAAGGAGATTTTACTTGAATACTTATCTGTGGGGGGAAAAAGAGGGGAAAATTAAATAACTAGATAAAAGGAACTTATTAGTTAAGCTAAACCCTAAAACTAGCGAAAAGGGTAGCAAGAGAAAGGAGTTATAGCTTGAAAATAGGGGGAAGAGAGCTGATGAAAATGAAGTTACCTTAAGGTAGATTAAGTAAAAATAAGAAACAAAATAATGTGTTTACAGAGGAAGAGGAAAAATATCATAATTTTTGGGAAAATTTATTATAGACATATGAAGAAAAATATCAACCTGACTCATATGACTTTAAATATGAATGGATTTATCCATCCATTAAAATAAAAAAGAGTGACAGAATGGATAAGAAAACAAAACCTTACAGTCTGTTGCTTTCAAGAAACACACCTACAAAATGAAACATAAAATAAAATGAGTAGCTGGAACAAAGTTTATTTTGTAACAGGTGATTCCAAAAGAAGCAAGAATTACAATCATGCTGTCAAAGTAGGAACAAACATTCACAACATAGAAAGAAGTAAACAAGGAAACATTATGATAAAAGGAACCATAGACAACAAATCTAAATCAATTAAACTTATATGCTCCAAATCCCTCCAAATTCATATGCTTCCAAATTCATAAAGGAAAAATTAGCTGAACTACAAGAAGACATAGACAGTAATCCAGGAGTGACAATAATACAGTAGTGGGAAGAGATTTTAATGTCCCTGTCTTAGTTTTGGACAAATATAAAAAAGGGGGGGGAGTAGAAATAAACAAATTACTGGAGAAACTAGAGGTAAAAAATTTATGACATCTTTTAAATGACACTGCTACAAAATACATTTATTTTTCAGAACCACATGGAACTTTTACAAAAATCAACCATGTATTAGGGCACAAAGATATTGTAAAGAAATATAAAAGACAGATGGATTCATAGGAAAATTCTTTCAGATTTTTAAAGAAAAGTTAGTACCAATACTACTCAAATTATTCTAAAAAATTGTTTCTCAATTTAGAAAGCACTCAACCAGATTCTTTTATGAGACAAAAGTAGTCCTAGAGCCTAAACCAAGTGAAGATAAAGCACAGAAAAGAACTAGCGATCAGTATCATTCACGAATGTCAATTCAAAACACTTAAATAAAATCCTGTTAAACAGACTACAGTGATCCAAGAAATTATTCATCATCACCAAGTTAGATTTATACCAGGGATACAAAGGTGATTCAACAGTAGGAAAATAACCAACATAATTAATCTTATTTTTAAAAGAACATTCAAAACTATATTATTATCTCAATAGTTGCAGAAAAAGCTTTTGACAAAATACAACACTCATTTACACTAACAACCCTGGGCAGTGATGAACATTATTTAATATCATAAAATATATCTATCAAACCAAAAGCAAGCCTCATCTGCAATGGGGGTACACTAGAACCTTTCCCAATAAATAAGGACGCCTACTGTCGCCAGTGTTATTTGATGTGGTTCTGGAAACTATATATCAGCAAAAATACTATGAGATCATTAGTAGTGTCAGCAAAGTTGTAGGCTACAAAAAAACTGCAAAAGGCATAAAATATCTTGGAGTCAGTCCACTATGACATATAAATGCAATTACAAAACATTTGATAGAAATAGTTGCTTATCATAGAATGTGTAATGATAGCTTATGGCTGAGCTATACTAATGTAAAAATTAAGACACTACTTAAATCAGTTTATAGATTTAGTACTATATCCATCAGACTACCAGTAGATTATAGAACTAGACAAAATAATAAAATTCATCCAGAGAAACAAAAGATCTAAACCTCATGGGAAATTTTTTAAAAGAAAATAAAAAAGGAGAAATGAAAGAGAAGTCACACTTCTGGACCTCAAATTATACCATAATTGTTAAAAATTATTTGGTACTGATTTAAAAATAGAAAAGTAGATGAGGGGAACAGACTACATGTAAGAATCAGAAAGTCTAACTCAGTTGTCCTATATTGAAAATATTCTGAAATGATTTCTACAGAAATGGAAAAGCTTGCTAAAGCTTTTAAATAAATCCATATGTATATAAGGAACATTGATCAAAAGCATTTTAGACATACGTGTCAGCTGACCAGTTAGTTCCCATGTGTTTAATTGTCACCTCTGCGTTAATGAGTCACCTCTGTGTTAATGACCCTAATCTGCATATCCAAATTGTTCCTTCCCCGAGCTTTAGTCATATATTACCAACTGCCTATTGGACATTTCAAAATGAATTTCTCCCTGGCCTCACCAGAACACACTCTAATTCCAAATCACCCTGTTTCTTTTGAAGGCACCATCATCCTTCCAATATCTCAGGTTTATAATATCAGAGTTATCTGCAACTCCTCACTCTTCCTCACTCCATGTATCTAATCAATTGCCTACTCCTGTTGTTTCTACCTCCACATCTTTCCAGGTGACTCCTCTGCACTCATATAGCTATCACCTTAGTTCAGGACTTTATCACTTCTCATCTAGATTAGAGCAACTGACTGCTAATTCGCCTGTCCACCTATCTTTACGATCTTTTTGTTCTAGAATGTAGACCCTGCTACCAAAGTAATTTTCCTTAATTTCAGATGTGACCATGTGACTCCCCTACTTGGCTAAATCCAGTGACTTCACATGTATCTCCAGGATAACATGTAAACTTAAATGTTTGATTTTTAAAATCCTCTACAGCCTGTCCCCATCCTATCTTAACAGCCTTGTTAGCATCACTCCTTCCACCCACATTCTTTGATTCAGCCAAACTGGCCTTCTGTCTTCTCCTCACAGAAAAAACTCTGTCTCCCATCTCTGCTTTTACACTTGCCATCTCCATACCCAGAATGCAGTTCCTTCTTACCTTTGTCTGTCTCTTAGAGTCCCACTCTTCTTTTAAAATGCAACTCAAGCACTACTTTCTACATAAATCTTCTTTCCTGATCCTCCAACAGCTAGTGCCCTCTCTACCAAACTAACTTGTATATAACTACTTTGTTTCATCCATGTATGTATTCATTCTCCGTGTACTCTGATGTGTGTACTTGTTTCTTTCATTTTAATTGTATCACCAGTGCCTGACACTAGGAGGTGCTTAATAAATGCTTGTTGATTTGAATGTTCTTTGGCATTCCATAAAAACTGATCAATTGCCTTGCTGTTTTCTTAGAGATCAAGATTTATCTAGTAGGGCCTTCATTTCTTCATGTAATATTGGAATAGTAATACTCACATTACTGCCCCAGAAGTTGTTATAAGGAAAGCACTTTGCCAACTTTAAACATGCTATAGGAATGTGAGCAGGTGGCAGTGGTGGAGTGGACAGATGGTCAGCCTCCAGTGGGGTTCAAGTCCCACCTCTGGCCACTCTTCTAGTTAGTCTTTAAGACTATAGATTGGCTAGGAGCCAGAGACAGAGACAGAGACAGAGACAGAGACAGAGAGGAGAGAGGAGAGAGAGAGAGAAACTCTATACCAATGAAATCTCAGAACCAGGCTGTATTCCTATAGGAATGTTCATTGTTATCCCCACCCCTCTCCCCAACCTAACACACACACACACACACACACACACACACACACACACACACACTATGGAATGATGGAAGGAATATAAACTCTTTGTGATCAGGGAGTGTTTCATTTAAGCGCAATACTGTTCATATACTTGATGCTTTGTAAATGCTTGTTTAATTAACTTGAAGTTGTAAAATAGTTTGCATTCATAATTAATAAAAAATGAGTAATTTGGTTTTATAGGAACCAAAAGAGGAAGATTCTGGAATTAATACCACTCTTCAGGTATATTTCTTCGGAAAAGAAGGAAAAAAGAAACTTCATTATAAAGAATTTCGAAGGTTTGTATCTGTAAAGAGACTTTTAGTTATAAAACATAATGTTATCAATATTTTAAATAAGTAAATAAATGACTATATCTACTTTAGTTACCCACTAGTAAAACTACAGTACTATGAAATAATATTTGCAGATTTATATAGCACTTGTCTCTAAGAATTCAGTCTATGAAGTATAAAGCTACAATATCAAATTCATGAATGTAGTAATCCTTGTGACAAAAAAAATCTATTTTTAAAAAACCATAGCACTTCAAAAAGTAATGTCAAAAATGAATATGTAGTATCTCTCCTGTGGCGCGACCTCTCATGCCATGCACTGCTCCTCGTCCCGCCACCACCGCCATCCCCCAAAAAATTGAGGAAATAAAAGACTTCTCGCTGACAGCCAGGTAAAAAGATGCCAAATCTGTCAAGATCGAGAAAAACAAGGACAATGTGAAGTTTAAGGTTCGCTGCAGCAGATACCTGTACACACTGGTCATCACAGACAAAGAGAAGGCAGAGAAACTTAAACAGTTCCTGCCTCCTGGTTTGGCTGTGAAGGAGCTGAAGTGAAGGAATAATTCAATGTTCCACCTGTATAAAAATGTAGGGGGGGAAAAAAGTGAATTATGTATTCTCTGCTTTAAGAAAATCTTATATGCATGTATATATATATAAAGTAAAACCAAAACAGAACTATCAGGGGGCTGTTATATGTAAATTGTGTTCCTTTAAACAGTCAATTCCTAAAATGCATGAATGGATACAACTTTAATTTATACTGACTTTTCAGGAATACAACTCTTGCTTTCAGCAAAGTTCACCTGTAATGAAAATTATTAGTACAGCAAGATAAAAAAATCTGGCAGTAGGTAATCAGTATTTTTTCATTTTTGTGCAAGTAGTATATTAATGCAGAAAATAGCTTCTATATGAATAATGTAAAACCAAAACTTTATCTGACATACCAAGCAATGTAGTTGATAGAGTCATGTACTATGAGTCTTGAAAACCCAAGTTCAGATCCTACCTTCAGCTCCTGTTATCTGTGACCATGGTCAAAGTACTTAACTTCTGTCTTAGTTTCCCATAAAATGAGAATAATAATATACATAATACCTAACTCAGGGTTATTATGAGGCTCAAATGAAAAATGTAAAGCTATTTGTAAATCTTGAAGAAGTCAGTTCTTATTATCTTATTTTCATTGTTTTTGATGGGTTTCATATAGGTTTCAGTTGCATTCAACAAATCTAATGGTGTTCACCAGTTATCACCCTTTACTATTGCTTGAAATGGTCTTTTTATTCTAAAAATATTTATCTTTTGACTGTTTTGACATGCTCCTAAAATGTCTATCTGTTTCCTTTTTGACAAGGATGTGTTCATCTAGTACTAGGGTACTAGTCCCTATATTTTTAACTGGTTTTTGTTAGGATACTTTCCAAATCTCTTATGGTCCATTTTACAGTTCCAGAAGTGTACATTAAGATTGGTATTATGGGGCACGAAGGTGGCACAGTGGATAGAACACCAGCCCTGAAGTCGGGCAGACCTGAGTTCAAATTCAGCCTCAGACGTTAGCTGTGTGACCCTGAGCCAGTCACTTAACCTCAGTTGCCTCCCCCTCAAAAGAAAAAAATTGGTGTTATGCAGACATAATTGTTTTAAGTGTATTCTTGACATTTAGTTATGATTTCAGGTTGCCAGTAAATCACCACAGCACTATATTTCATGTATGTTGCCTGGAGGTATGAGAATAATTTTGATACCTCTGCTCAATTTGATCAGTTCATTGTGATTTTATGGGCATCAATGATTGTGTAAGGTAGGATAGAATTAAGTTTGACTTAGTTAAGACTGTTAGAATAGGAGTTATATAAGTTAGAATTAATTAATCCACTATGTATTGATTATTATAGTGCTTTTAATTGATTTTTAGGATAGAGTTATACTGCATTATTTAGGCTTGTTAACAAAGATTTATATTAACTTGTGTATTATTCTTGCTCTACCCCACTCCTGTAATGTACTCTGAGAACTGTGTTCTAAAAAAACCACAGTTTCCCTATTTTCTCTGTTTTTTAACACCTAATGTTTATAACTACTTGTAAAAAGTCCCAGAGCTCTGGTGACTAAACACTGGTGATTGGCCAATTGGAGAGGCTCCACTTCTGGAATTGACCAGTCATGGCTTGTACTACCTCATGCTATTTTTAGTAATCTCTCAATGTCTATAAAAACTTGAAGAGTCCAAGCAGAGGGATCCATGATTGCAGAGGAGAGTCTTAGATCCAGACGATTAGGGCCCACTAGTCTCCCTAATAGATTGATACCTGCTTGGAGCTTTGCCTCAGTTTACTAAACACCTACTATGTGCTAGGTATTGAGGATACAAGTACAAAGAATTAAATAATCCCTACTCAAAATGGGCTTGCATTCCAATGAGGGAGACAAACAGTACATATAAAAATATATACAGTATATATGAAGCTAATAAATACATGGATATGTGTGTACATACGCACCCATACACAAAATAGCTAAATGCATGGTAGTGTAGGGGGATAGGGCACTAGCAGTTGGGGGATGAGAAAAGGCTTCATACAAAAGAGAAAACTTAAGCTGCATCCTACAGGAAAAGAGGGACTATCTGAAGTAGGGAAAAATCATTTTAATTGGGAAAAATTATTGCAGAAAGTTTCTCTGAAAAAGGTCTCAAGGGGCAGCTAGGTGGTACAGTGGATAGAGCACCGGCCTTGGAGTCGAGAGGACCTGAGCTCAAATCCAGCCTCAGACACATAACACTTACTAGCTGTGTAACTCTGGGCAAGTCACTTAACCCCAATTGTCTCACAAAAAAAAAAAAAAAAAAAGGAAGAAGAAGAAGAAAAAAAAGAGAAAAAGAAAAAGGTCTCAAATCTAAGATATATGAGGAATTGATTCAAATATATAAAAACGAGCTATTTCCCAATGGATACCTTGTAAAGTGAAATGAACAGGAAGTTTTCAAAGGAAGAAATCCAAGCTAACAAATATATCTTTAAAATGTTCCATATCACAAATAGAAACATAATAATAATAGCTAGTATTTATAGCACTTTATGGTTTGCAAAGCACTTTGTTGATGTTACTTCATTTGATCCTAGCAACAGCTCTGTGAGATAGGTGTTATTAAGGCCCCCACTTTACAAATAAGGAAACTGAAATACAGAGAGGTGATTTGTCCAAGGTCACACAGCTAGTAAGTGTCAGAGGCAGGATTTGAACTCAGGCTTTCCTGACTGCAGGTCTCATGCTCTATCTTCTGTGCCACATAGCAAATTAAAACAATGTCATACCCATACAAAGATTACAACAGAGGCAAATGACAGTTTTGAAAGGGGTTATAGTAAAACCAGGACATTGATGCCTGGAGCTGTGAACTAGTCCAGCCATTCTGGAAATGAATTTGGAACTATGCTCAAATAGTCACTATATTGTGTTTACCTTTTGACTCGGCAGTACCATTACTAGTCTAAGATTCTCCCTCCTTAAAAAAAAAAAAAAAAAAAAAAAACAGGAAAAGGTATGTGCAGAGATGTTTATAGTAGCTCTTTTTTTAGTGACAAAGAATTAGAAATTAGGAGGGTGTCTATTAGTTAGGGAATGGCTGAAATAAAGCGTGATATATAAATGGGATGGAGTAGTATCATGCTGTTAGACATGATTTAGTTGTATAAAACAGATTGGAGTGAAATAATCACAGGTCTGATAATTAGTTCCTATAACTGTAAACAAAGGAATGTAGAAAAATGTGCTATTTACGCATCAATTTTGTCATGTTCACATAGGGAAAACATCAATATTGCAACGTTTTAAAATATAAAATATGTATCTTTCAGAGATTTATATTGTCTTTACATTGTTTGCAAAATGCTTTTTTAAACTGACTTTTAGGATATACAGGGTCAGAAGTAACTTATTTATTCTTATCATCTTGGTTTTTTTATTGCATTGTACGTAAAGAAGTGCACAAAGACTTAGAAATCACTCTGATAATATAATTACTAAATGAAACACTGGAAAATAACAGAATAACAGCATTTTCATAGAATTTAGTACCTGAAGAGACCTTAAAGATGATCTGGTTCAGGCTTCTATTTCCAGATAAGGAATTGGCATGAGGATACCCAACTAGTGGCATCCTTTAGCTGTAATTTTAACTAATTTATTTCAGTACTGAAACTGAATACCTAACTCAATATTTCTTGTATGTTATAATTTTATATTTTAATGCTTAGATTTATGGAAAATCTGCAAACAGAGGTACAGGAAATGGAATTCCTACAGTTTTCAAAAGGTTTGAACTTCATGAGGAAAGAAGACTTTGCAGAATGGCTACTCTTTTTCACAGACACCGGGGACAAAGATGTTTACTGGCAAAATGTGAGAGAGAGGTTGTCGGCGGGAGAGGTTGGTGTACATGTACTTATTTATGTGATAGAAAAGGAATAGTCACAATTAAACTGATTTCTCTATCTGATTTCCTTTTAAGTTATCCAGGTTTTATACTTGTTCTTTATCAATATCACAGTAATCAAAAGTTCTGTCCATATTTTTCCTAAATTCAAATTATTGTTCATATGTATTTACTTTTTAAATATAAATGTTTTTGTCTATTTGTCAGAAATATGACATCTGCCTAATTTAACAAATCTCTAAGTTGACTTTTTTAAAGTACTATTTTAATTGGACTTTTAAAATCCAATGAACTGTACATGCAAATGAGAATATCCTCAATTGGGTGGGGAAAGGGGAATGAGAAGGCAAGCAATAGATATAAATGGAAATTAATGGTCTCTCTGGCAACTAAGGATGTTATTTCTTTATTTGAATTGGTGGTACTACCACTGCGTTATTAAAAATAACAGGAATTAGACTTAATTATAATTAGATCTTATATTTACATAGCACTTTAGTTTTCAAAATAGCTCTGAGATCCATATTTCTATAAGTTTCTTTTTTATACCTTTTACTTGTTTGATGTATCTTTATACAGAATTATATTTGTTCCTAAGCCTGAAAATTCTTAACCTATTTACAAAAATTCAATAAATCTAACTTTTTTTTTTAGAATATTAGTTTGGAAGAATTCAAGTCATTTTGCCAGTTTACAACTCACTTGGAAGACTTTTCATTCACAATGGAAATGTTTAGTTTAGCTCATCGCCCTGTCAAACTAGGCAAGTAAAATGTAATCATGAACATTTTTATTTTGTAAGCCATTCTAAATTATAGTTCAACCAGATGATTCGTCTCAAAAATCAAACTCATCCTATCAAAATACTGACCTTTTAATCCAATTTGTAAGAATGTATTTTGCTGGGGCTAGCTCTGGCCTTGCAGTCAGAAGGACCTGAGTTCAAGTCCAGCCTCAGACACATGACACTTAAGAGCTCTGTGACCCTGGGCAAGTCACTTAACCCTGATTGTTTCACAAAAAAAAAAAATGTACTTTACTGCTGATGTAGTTATCTGTATTTCTATCTATATCGTTAAATTTTATCTTTATACAGTTATAAAAATTTATTATCTTTGAAAACATTGTTATTTCAGCACCATATTCATTTTCTTTTAGAGATCTCTCACTTATTTTGGTTGTACTTTTCTTAAAAACGAAAGGGGGGAATATATAAAAGTTAGTTTGAAACTAATTTTAAATGGCAAGAAACTATCTTATCACTATTATACTGACCATTTTAAATACAAATCTACATTGTGAGTATTCCTTTTTGAAATCACAGTCCAAAGCATGGGACATGACTGCACAAACTGAATTGAATTAAAGAGTAGGAGAGGCAGTAAGCATTTATTAAACACCTACTATGTGCCAGGCACTTTGCTATGCACTTTTATAAATATTACCTCATTTGATCTTCATAACAACCCTGGGCAGTAGATGTCATTATGATCCCAATTTTACAGTTGAGGAAAGAGAGGCATAGAGGATGACATGCCCAGGGTCCCATAGCTAGTAAGTATCTGAGGCTGGAACTCAGGTCTTGCTGATTCCAGGTCTAACACTCTACCCAATGTGCTACTTAGCTCTAGTCGTTGCAGTGGATTGAGCAGTATCCAAAAGGTAGAAGTAAGTTCAGCCCTATATAGGGCAAATATGAGTGTAGGTACAGTGCCTTCCAATGTATTATTCAAATTTTCTACATGTATCAGAATTTTGTCATGTGAATTACAGTTGGAACTAATTTGATCATCACGGTGGTTGAAAATTTAAAATACTAGCACTTGTCATGCCAAGATTTTCATTGCAATGCTATTTGTAATAATGAGATTTGACATATTTGCAAGATTACTGGTTTGGACTTTCCATGTAATTCAAGTTGCTAACTGAACACTGAGGTGGTACTAAATTCCACTTGTGTTGTATCACCCCAATCCTGTGGGGTCTATATAATGTTCTTTTATGTTTTCTTTTTATAGCGGAGTTTAAGAGAGCTGTGAAAGTGGCAACAGGCCAGGAGCTCTCAGACAATATTTTGGACACCGTCTTCAAGATCTTTGATTTAGATGGTGATGATTGCCTTAGCCATGGAGAGTTTCTTGGGGTCTTAAAGAACAGGATGCATCGAGGCTTATTGGTAACAAGTGCCAGTTTTTATCCTTAATTTCAAATACATAAAATTTATGTTATCTAATCTCAATTTATATTATCTAATCCTTATTGCAGCAAGGCAATCTTTTTATTCCTCTTCATTGATTCCCTATCTTACTCCCCACAGTGGCTATTCCAAACTTTCTTTTCTCTCCTTCAGCTTCCAAAAGTGTCTTCTTGCTCAGCCCTCTCAGCTGAGTCTCATACTTGATAAAGAAAACCAAGCCCATTCTCAATGAGCTCACTCTCTTCCCTTTCTCTTCATCACACAATCCTTTGATATCCCCAACTTTCTCTTCCTTTATTCTAGTCTCTGGTTGGAAAAAAAAAAAGTGGCTCTTTTCCCTAAGTCCAAACATTCTGCAACAGAGATTTTTAACTTTTTTATGTGCATTATGGACCCCTTTGGCAGTCTGGTGAAGCCTATGGACCTCTCCCCACAATGCAAAAAATAAGATAGAAAAGATTACAGAGAAAACCAATTATAGTGAATATTAAAATGTAATTTTTCCCCCACCCAAGCTCATGAGCCCCCTGAAATCATCCTCTGTTCTATATGTCCCCTTGGTCCCACTCCTTCCTGTCTTCTCCAGCAGATTGCCTCCACTATAATGATTTATCTTTTTTTAATCTACATTCTTTCCCTGTTTACTGCTTCCTGCCCTCCTACCTACAAATATGCCCAAATCTCACTAGATCCTTCTGTCTACACTAGCTTTCATTCTATGTCTTTTTTCCTATTCTCTTCAAAACCCTCTAGAATCTGCTTCCTACCTCATTACTCAACTGAACTCCTTTCTCCAAAGTCACCAGTGAGATCTTAATTGTCAAATCTAATGTCTTTTTCTCAGTCCTCATCTTTCTCAGCCTCTCTGCAGTATTTGACACTGTTGACTTCCCTCTCCTTCTGTATTCTCTGTCTCTGAGTTTTTTGTGAACCTGATCTTTCATGCTTCTCCTCCCACCTATTTTTCCTTCTCATTCTCCTCTATTGGATTATCATCCATGTCATGCCAGTTAACTGTGGGTATTCCCCAGGGCTCTGTCCTGGGTCCACTTCTATCCTCTGTCTTATTTGGTGACCTCCCAAGGGTTCAGTTATCATATCTGTCCAGATGACTCTCAAATCTATATATTCAGCCTAAGTATTACTTTTGAGTTCCACATCACCAACTGCCTTTTAGACATTTCAGACTCAATATCTAATAGGCATCTCAAACTTGACATGTCCAAAACAGAAGTCATTAACTTTTTCCCAAAAAACCAGTCTTCATCTACACTTCCTTCTCGCTATCCAGAGCACCACCATCCTTCTTATCATTCAGATTCAAAACCTTGGTGTCATCCTAAACTCCTTGCTCTCACTCCACATTTCCAAAGAGTTGTCATATCTTGTCATTTCTCCTCAATATCTCTCACATGTGTTGCCATCCTCTCATGTAACTACCACCCTTGTTCAGGACTCACGTATTGCATGCAATATCACACTAGCCACCGAAGTGATTTTCCTGAAGCACAAGTACAATATGTCTCTTAATAAATCCAGTGACTCCCTGTTACTTTCAGAATCAAATATAAATTACTCTGATTTGAATTTAAAGTTCTTCACATTTTTACCTCATCCTACCTTTCCAGCCTTTTTATGCATTACTTCTCTCAACACACTCATACTGGCCTTCTTGCTGTTCCTGACAGAGCATTCTATCTCCTATCTCCATGCCTTTGCCATGGCTGTCCCCCATACTTAAAAATCTTCTCTTCTTCATCTCTATCTCTTTGAATCTCTGATTTATGTCAAGACTTAATTAGTTCAGGTACCACCTTCTACATAAGACCTTTCCTGGTCTACTGTACCTCCACCAAGCATCTAGTGCTTTCTCCTCCAAGGTATCTGTTTTGGATGTGTTCTGTAGATACCTATGCAGGTATATATGCAGGTTGTCTCCTCCATATTCCTTGAGGACAAGAACATTGCCCCACACCTGGTAGATTCTTATAAATGCTATTTGATTAATTGATAACTAAGCTAATATTATTAAAATATCATTGTAAATATATAACTATATAAAATTAAAAATCATGATTTACAAAGGGATATTATATAATATTATTTTAAAAACTTTCCTGGATAGGGAAGTTATTGCTGTTTTGTTTTGTTATTTTTGTATACTGGCAAAATCATGCTTACATATTTTCATTATCTTTACAAAGATGACAAATGATCATTCAGTCAGTAATTTTTCTGAAGCACCTACTATGTGCCAAGCACTGTTCTAAGCATTGAACATACAAAAAGAGGCAAAAGACAAAGTCCCTGACCTCAAGGAACCTACAATCTAATGGGGGAGACAATATGTAAACAAATATATACAAAGCAAACTGTATACAGGATAAATAGGAAATAACTAAAAAAAAGGAAGTGGGATTTAAGTTGGGGCTTAAAAGAAGCCAGGGAGGTCAGTAGCTGCAGGGGAGGAGGAAGAGTGTTTCAGGAATGGGGGACAGCCAGAGAAAATGCCCAGAGCCCAGAAATGGAGAGTCTTGTTCATGGAACAGCCAGGGGCCAATGTCACTGGACTGAAGAGTACATGTTGGGGACTAAGGTATAAGAAGACTGAAAAGGTAAAAGGGGGCTAGGCAGGGCAGCTAGGTGGCGCAGTGGATAGAGCACCGGCCCTCAAGTGAGGAGAACCTGAGTTCAAATCTGGCCTCAGACCAAACACTTGACACGTACTAGCTTGGGCAAGTCACTTAATGCCAATTGCCTTACTAAAAAAAAAGGGGGGGGCTAGGTTATAAAAGGCTTTGAATGCTAAACAGAGCATTTGGTATTTAATCCTATAGGCCGTAGGGAGTCACTGGAGTTTGGGGGTAAGGGGAATGTGACATGATCAGACCTGTGCTTTAAGAAAATCACTTTTAAAAAAAAGAGAAAATCACTTTAGTGGCTAAATAGAGGATAGATTGGAGTAGGGAGAGACTTGAGGCAGACAGACCCTCTGGTAGGCTATTACAGACAGTTCTCGTTTTACGTAAGTGGACCAGACCTCTACATAAAGCAATTTTTACTTAATGCAAATTTCACTCAGACTGAGGAAGGGAGGGAGAGAAAGAGGAAGACAGGAAGGAGGTCATGCCCTGTGGAGGGAGGGGGCCAGCACACAGTTCAGGGAATAGAGAATGGAGAGAGAGAGGAAAAACATGTGGGGGCCAGGGCCAGACACATGGGGGCCAGACATGGACGCAAACAGGAAAGGACAGGCAGCGTGTGGGAGCCAGGCTAGACACATGGTACCAGAGGGCAGACCCACAGTGGGTGGGTGGAGCGGGACAAAGGTCTCCTTTCTCAGTGTTGAGGTCTCAAAACAAGCCCTCATCTGGTCAGGCAGTGACTATCTCTCTGAGTCCATTCTTCTGCCTTCCCTTGGAGGGTTTGGGTTTTTTAAGGGCTTTTTTGGAGGGTTGGAGGAGCTGAGCACCCAGCAGAGGAGCAGGGGTGGAGAGAGAGAGTGTGAGACAGAGAAAGAGAGAGAGAGAAAGAGAGAGAGAAAGCTTGGTACTGTACAATAAAGTTAACATAGGGTTTTTTTGGAATGCAGAGTTCTTTCAGAATTCTTTAGGGAAAGTTGAATTTGCTTAATGCAAATTTACATAAAGTGAGAACTGTCTGTACAACAGTGCAGGTGTGAGGTGTTGATGACGAGGTATGGGCCTCATTAGAATGGTGGTAGTGTCGGAGGAGAGAAGGAGGCGTGTTCAAGAGATGTTACAGAGATGAAATTGACATGCCTTGGCAACAGCCTAGCTATGGTATGTGAAAGATAATGAGGAGTCTAAGATGACTTCTAGGCTGTGAGCCTGAGGGACTAGGAGGGTAGTGTTTCCCTCTAAAGTAATAGGGAAGGTATAGAGAGAGTTCAGGGGAAAAGATAATGAATTATGTTTTGGATATATTAGGTCTCAAATTCTACCAGACAGCCAGCTCTAGATGTCTGAAAGGCAGTTGGAGATGTAAGATTGGAGTTTAGCAAAGAGATTGGCAGAGAATAGATAGATTTGAGAAAAATAAGTTCACCATTCTCACCTCATGTGCACCCCTCATTCGGCCTTAGATAGGTCACAAGAGATTTTACAGTAGCCCCAATGAAAGTCTTTAAAGATAGTAGAAAGGCTGTGTCAAATTTCCTTAACCCTGCTATTTCTAATTGTCCAGTTTCAATCCTTTTAATGCAAAGTTTCTCAAATAAGAGACTCTGTTCACAGCCATCTTTAACTTCCTTAAAACTGGCTTCTGACCCCACCATTGCACTCTCCCAAAGGTCATCAGGGAATGCATATTCATATCTAAAGTTTCTGTCTCTATCCTTATTCTCCTGAGCATTGTGGATCACTTCTTCCTTCTTGAAACTGTCTCCTCCATTAGAAAGAGTTGTCTATCCTGCTTTGACTTCAGTGATACTTTCTGTCTCCTTCACAGGTGCCTACCTATTCACATACTTTCCCCCCCACCCATGTAGGTATTTCTTAAAGAATCCCTGTTTTTCTCTGTTTACACTCCTTTGAAAAATGTATCTTCTATCATGACTTTGTCACCTCTGTGACTCTCAAATCGACAACTTTAGCCCCACTATTTCAAAAGAGCTCCAAAAATACAGTAAACCCTCCAGATTCATAGTTTCAAATATTTTCTGTGCACTTTGACATGGGTTAGATTGCCTCCTGCTCATGGCCTCCTAATTTTGTACTTTCTTTCATCCTGGCTGCTACTGCCAGTCCTATTGCTGCCAGTCTTGAATCCACGGCAAATACTCCTTATTAAAAAGGAACCCGAAAGGTTAAGACTTTAGTGAATATCTCCACATTGTAAGATGAATTGAGAGTACTGAAAAGCTTAGGACTTTTTAAAGAAAATGAATGACTGTCTGAAGCATTTTGCATCAGAAACAGATACTCTCATTTGTAATATAAGTAAACTCTAGACAAGGGGTAGGGAACCTGTGGCCTTCTAGGTCATTGGGTGTGGCCTTTTGACTGAGTCCAAGTTTACAGAACAAATCCTTTCATTAAGGCGATTTGTTCTCTGAAGTTTGAATTCAGTCAAAGGGCCATACTTGAGGACCTAGAGGGCCACAGATTCCCTACCCCTGCTCTTGACCTTTTCCCCTAAAATTAGCAAGGATGTGCATATTTCTAGTTATCTCCTGAAAGTTTCCATTTAGGATATTACTGCCACCTCAGATTATGTCCAGTATAAAAGCCATGGCTTTCCTCCTCAAAATAGCTTCCCTTTCCAACTTCTCTATTTCTATCATTAGCTCTGATTCTTCTGGTCTGCTAGGCTTGAAACCTTGAACCCCCTTGATTCCCTTCTTTCCTAGAGATTTGTCCATAACTACAAAATGATCATTACTATAAAGAATATTTAACTTTCAATGAAATACCGCAATGAACATTAAATTATTAAATTGGGGTTTTGTTGTTGTAAACAGGAACCACAGCAGCCAGGCATGCAAGAATACTGGAAATGTGTGAAAAGAGAAAGTATCAAAGCACTAAAAGAAGTCTGGAAACAAGCTGGAAAAAGCTATTTATAAAAACAAAAAAAAATCTAAGGTAGTGGGAATTCCAGTGTTTCAAATAACCAGATGTTATATTTTAAGTGCCTTCTTAAGTTCTATTCATTAATGTATTTGTAAGAGACATGCTTTCTAATTATATAATTTTATAAGACTAATCAAGTTTCATCAAGGAAATTTTTCTTCTTTTACCAGGAAATCATGGAAATTTACAAAAGTGGATTTTAGACTTGTTAAATTCTAATCTAAGATTAAATTATGTTTTCTATTCTCAGGGGTAAGAACATGATATTTGTAGTGGCCTCTAATTTTGTTGGCAACAATACTACAATTGGCTAATTGGAAGCAAGAGAAGTACCTGTGAACATAAATATATGTTTACTATCACACTCCAAAGACATACGATCCAGAATTAAAAGATTAAATCAGAAACTCAGTATAAGTTTTCTAGTCTCTTGGGAATTTTCTGTATTTTTTATTTCTGCTGTGGGTCTGAATAAATACTGATAAAAATATCAGTATTTGAATTAGAATTATAATAAAGTATTTATCAAAAACTGTGAACCAAGTGCTTAATTTTCTACATATTCTTTAAAACTTCAAAAAAGAGTGGATAATGTAAGAAAAAATTTAAAACAATACTTATTTACTCTAAAATATTTGATTCATCTTATAATTTTTTATTTTAATGCTATTCACTATAAACTATGTAGGAATGTATACATTTTCATTTTAATTCCTCCTAATTTTTTGCTTTCTAAAAATACTATAAGCCCTCTGAAGGCAATAAACTTTATCCATTGAGGAGGTGTCAAGAAAGAAGGTTCCTCTCCTTATTAGACGGTGACCTTTCAGGCCAATACTGACAAGTTTCAGAAAACTTCTTTTCTTTGATAAAGATTGTGGTTTAAGCAGTCTCTCATACCGGACTTTAGAATTCAGCTTAACATTTATTAAGCACCTATTATGTGCTAAAGTGTTGGGAATACAAAGACAAAAACCCACGAGTCCACAATTCAGGGCAGATGCTCAGCAGCCCAAAGAGCAGGCAGCTTCCATACCCACAGAAGTCTAGCTCAGCTCCACTTCCCCCAGTGAGAGTTCTTGCCCTGTCTGCTGTCAACTGGCTTGATTTTTAACCTTCTGTTCTCCCTTTCACCAAAGGAACAAGGGAAAAATTGTTGGCACTGTCCCTCTGAGAAGCAGGAAAGATCAAAAATTCTGGGACAAAGACCAGAAGGCTCCAAAGAGAAACTAACCTAAATCCCTTGTCCCAGTGAGGGTTCTCAGATCAGGATAATCAGATCATCCCCAGATTTCTGTTCTCTGACTTATAGACTCCTCAGAGCTGAGCTCCAAAAAGAAATCTTGAAATCAATTGACTTGTGACCTCATCTGCATCTTAGTAATTTTCCTTAACTACTATATCCTCAATAGCCATCTTTTTTTCCTAGTCACCAATGAATTGAGCATGCCTTGTGTGTCTTTCACTTTCCCTGTTATGTTTTGACTCCTAGTCTCTGCCTCACTCTCTTTACAAGTAATCAATCACAAATGAATTTTCTTTCACAAATGAATCAAACAAAACCTGATTGCATAAAGCAATAGATCTTTTAATGTGATAAGTTTAACTCACACAAAAGGAGGAAGTTCAAGGGCTCAAGTGAAGTGGGGGCAGGTTTTGAGCTGGGAGGAGGGATGGAGGGGGGTGCTGTGGGGATGTTTAAGGCAAAGGATACAACCAATTCTCAGTGTCCAGAGAGAGTGGACACAACTGACTCTGGATTCATAAGCTTTAGATGAAATGATCTTTAGGCCATGGCAAGATGAAGAAGGAGGTTAACAGTGGTTCTTCAGAGCAGCTGTCCTCAAACTTAGCACACCAGTTTCCTACAAGATCCATCCTTCCCAGTAGGTACAAGATCACCTTCACTACAAGAAAGCTCACTCAGGTTTTATAGTAAAGAAGAATGACAATACCAGGTACTGATTAATGGAAGTACTAGTTAGTAGAGCAGTGGTAAGAAAGTTTCTAGAGCTAACTATGGTGGCAAGTGCTTATAATCCCTATAATTGGAGAGGCTAAGGGTGGCACATCACTTGAGTTTAGCAGTCCTGAGGTGCGGTATGGCTGAGCCAGTCCAGATGTCCATACTAAGTCCAGCACCATTATAGTGAACCCTGGAGAGCTTCAAGGGGTTGCTTAAGGAGGGACTAACCAGCCCAATTTGGAAATGGAGTAGGACTTTAGTGGAAGATTTTTTTTTCTTTACCATGGCCCTATCAAATATCACATTAGAAGATTTTCTTAAGTATAGTTATCCCTTCCACATTGTGACTTTCCCCATCATGGTTTTGCTGTATCACAGGTTTGCATAAGAAATTAAATGAGGGGGCGGAGCCAAGATGGCAGAGTAAAAGCAGTGATCTGCTTGATCTCCCCCCCAACCCCTCCAAATACCTATAAAAAATGGCTCTGAACAAATTATAAAGCAGCAGAACCCACAAATAGACAAAGTGAAACAAATTTCTAGCCCAAGACAACCTAGATGATTGATCAGAAAGGTATATTGCTCTGGGCTGGGAGAGGAACATAGTTCAGCATGGGTGCACAGGCCACAGCGAACCTGGAGCAGCTCTCAGAGGACTGAATCGCAGGCAGTTGTGGCAGTTTGCAGACTTCTCAACCCATGAACGCCAAAGACAACTTATAAGGTCAGTGGGAAACATCTGTTTCTGTGATGAGAGAGAAGCCCAGGGTTCCAGCCCCATTCCCCAAACTCAGCCCCCTTCTGAGCTTCCAACCCACAGACTGAGAGGGAATCCAGTAGCTGATTACAGGGGGATTGCAGGGATCTCTCTGCTGGTGCAGGATTCTCTTGCTTTGCTCATGCTTGGATCTGGGTGGCGGTCCTGGGGTGAGGAGGAATGCTGGTGTGGTGGCTTGTAGTGGCAGTGGAAAGGAAATCCTCCTCCCAGTTCCAAGACAGAAAAGAGTGTTTGTGGTCACTCATAGGATGGAGCACAGGACAGAAAAGGAGTAAATACCTCACCGTTGATCATAGCACCTTGGAAGAACTGAAAATTTACAGGTCCCTGGAAGTATCTCTGAAAACAGCTGCACAAAACCCCTGAAGCTTGGGACAGTATATTCTCCACACTGGAAAAAGACCCCTACCTAACAAACAAAGAGTTTATAACTCAAGTAATTGGCCAGGATCATGAGCAAGCAGCGCAAAAAGAGTCAGACTATATTATCTTACTTTGGTGACAAAGAAGATCAAAACATACAACCAGAAGAAGACAACAAAGCCAAAGCTTCATCCAAAGCCTCCAAGAAAAATATGAATTGGTCCCAGGCCATGGAAGAGCTCAAAAAGGATTTTGAGAAGCAAGTAAAAGAAGTAGAGGGAAAACTGAGAGTGATGCTAAAGGAGACCCCAAAAAATACTGAAGAAAATAACACCTTAAAAAATAGCCTAACCCAAATGGCAAAAGAGGTCCAAAAAGCCAATGAGAAGCATGTCCTAAAAAGCAAAATTGGCCAAATGGAAAAGGAAGTCCAAAAGCTTACTGAAGAAAATACTTCCTTAAAAATTAGAATGGAGCAATTGGAAGCTAATGACAATTTGAGAAATCAAGGCACTGTAAAACTAATCCAAAAGAATGAAAAAATAGAAGAGAATGTGAAATATCTCATTGGAAAAACAACTGACCTGGAAAATAGATCCAGGAGAGAGAACTTAAAAATGATTGGACTATCTGAAAGCCATGATCAAAAAAAGAGCCTAGACATCATCTTTCAAGAAATTATCAAGGAAAACTGCCCTGATATTTTAGAACCAGAGGGCAAAATAGAAACTGAAAGAATCCACTGATCTCCTGAAAGAGATCCCCAAAGAAAACTCCTAGGAATGTTGTAGCCAAATTCCAGAATTCCCAGGTCAAGGAGAAAATATTGCAGGCAGCCAGAAAAAAACAATTCAAGTATTGTGGAAACACAATCAGGATAACACAAGATTTAGCAGCTTCTACATTAAGGGTCTGGAGGGCATGGAGTATGATATTCCGGAGGGCAAAGGAGTTAGGACTACAACCAAGAATCACCTACCCAGCAAAACTGAGTATAATCCTTCAGGGTAAAAAAATGGTCATTCAATGAAATAGGGGACTTTCAAGCATTCCTGAGGAAAAGACCAGAGCTGAATAGAAAATTTGACTTTCAAATATAAGACTCAAGTGAAACATGGAAGACATAAACAGGAAAGAGAAATCATAAGAGACTTATTAAGGTTGAACTGTTTACATTCCTGCAGGGAAGGATGATATTTGTAACTCATGAGTCCTTTGTCAGTATTAGGGTAGTGGGAGGGGGAAAAAAATTATATGTATGTATAGATAGATAGATAGATAGATAGATAGACAGATAGAGGGTGCAGGGTGAGTTGAAGATGAATGGGGTGATATCGGAAAATAAAATTAAGGGGTGAGAGAGGATTGTACTGGGAGAAGGAGAAAGGGAGAAGTAGAATGGGGTAAATTATCTCACATGAAACAGACAAGAAAAGGCTTTTACAGTGGAGGGGAAATGGGGGCAGGTGAGAGGCAATGAGTGAATCCTATTCTCATAGGATTTGGTTTACGGAGAGAATAACATACACAATGGGGTATGGAAATCTATCTCACCCTACAAGAAAATGGGAGGGGAGGGGACAAGAGAGCAGAGGGTTGATAGAGGGAGGGCAGATTGGGGGAGGAGATAATCAGAAGCAAACACTTCTGAGGAGGGACAGGGTCAAAAGAGAGAATAGAATAAATGGGGGATAGGATAGGATGAAGGGAAATATACTTAAGTTTTTTACAATGTGACTACTACAGAAGTGTTTTACATGACTACACATCTATACCCTGTATGGAGATGCTTGCCTTTTCAATGAGTATGGGTGGGGAGGGAGGAAGGGAGAAAATTTGTAACCCAAAGTTTTAAAAACACATGTTAAAAATTAAAAAAAAAAATAAAAAAAAATAAAAATTAAATGAGAATTTTGGGGAAGTTTTGTGGAAGCCACAGACAACACACAAAGGCTAGCAGATGACAGAAAAAGTTTAGAAACTCAGGATTGCATAAAATGTACATATAGTATTGTATAATATCACTAGATTTGATCTTTTAATACCATAATAATTTAGACTTCTTCTCTGGTATGAAGGGAAAGCCAAAAATTTTATGCAGATTTTCCAGGTCTCAGAGGTGCCACACCCCAACCCCCCACAATGTGGAAAGGATAACTATAGTTTGAAATTAGTCAACAAAAAGTTAAACATAGATAAGTTCTGCAATAAATGGCTTCAAATTAAATTAATAAGAATCTGCACATGGAGAGAGCCACTGGGGTTACCTTCTTTCCCTCCTTCCAGCGACTATTTGAACTGATCCTTCCCTGTTCTAGATCTAGGAAAACCTGTATTTCACTTGTCACACTTAATATTGAATGAATACAAATATCAATGCTGTTATTCCCAATCATTTTTGAGGTCTAGTGACCTAAAGAATATCTGTCTCC